GGTTTTTCACATTTTATTGGCTAACGACGGGAAAAAATGATTTGAAATATTTTTAACAGGCAAGAAATATGCTACTAATGAGTAAAATGAAAATAAATGTGAAATTATTTTTGAAGCTTTGTCTAATCTGAATGATGTTAATCGTAATTATAAGGCTTTGTAGTACCAAAATGTAGAAGTTATGGTAATTAGATTTACCCCTATGGAACAACTCAACACTTCTCCATATTAAAAATTCAGATGTTTCTGCACCATTTATCCCGAAAATGTTTTACATCTTTTAACAGCTAACCAGCCACTTTGTGCAAAGAATATGTAACTGGGATGACTCCAAAATCTGTATGGACTACAGATATCTTTTTGTGTGTAATCCTATGCAGCATGATATAATTTTGGTGTTTTGTGTTAAGGGTTAGTTGAAAGAAATCCTCAGACATAAGCTACATGTACTTTTTACATTTATCGTTAAATCTATTTGGCTAGACGTCATATTGCACAGCTGACTGGAAGACATCCATATGCAATAAAGACTTGATACTTGCATATAGACAAGGCTGCTTACTATCTCTAGTGATTTTCCTGATTGCGGTAGACTGGATAATGCGACAGACAGCTGCGAGCAACGAGGAAACAGGTATAAAATGGACCAACACAAAAAACTTGGAGGATCTGGACTTCACCGATGATATATGTCTGATTTCCCACAAACTGGAAAATATGCAAGTGAAAAGCAACAAGTTGGAAAAGGTGAACATCGAGAAAACAGAAGTGATGAAGATTCCTGGCCAATAGCAACAGCAACACCAACAGACAACAATCAGCATAAATGGGAGGAATCCGAAAGAAGCAACCTCCTTTACCTACCGACATGAGAAGCATCGTTTCAACTAAAGGCGGGCGAAACTGATGAGGATATCAAAGCAAGGATCGGGAAAACAAGGCAAGCTTTCATTTCTCTCAAGTCTGTATGGAGTTCAACAGCAATCAGCATGAAAAATAAGATGCGGATTTTCAACTCCAATGTGAAGTCAGTGCTACTATACGGATCAGAGACTTGGCGCCTCACGACGGGCACTTTGAACAAACTACAGACCTTCATCAACAGCTGTCTTCGCTGAATACTACTCAAGACGAGATGGCCAGAAAAGATGGGCAACAGGGGTCTCTGGGATCGAGCCAACTTGATCGCAAGATGTTAGTTTTTAACATTGGTCGTTGTACATAACGGGACGAATACTGACCCAACGGTTCAGTAGAAAGGTTCTTATCTCCTCGGCTAATGGTTCAGCTTTTGTCAGATAGTCTACTATGAATACGCACTGATGAATAGTACTAAAGAAGATCGAAACACCTATTCGTTGCACTTGGAATTCATTCTCCAACTATAAATGGTTGGCGTCGAGGACGAAACTTAAATCAATCAGTCAGTACTTGGTAAAAGAAAAGAACTTGGGAACTATGCATAATTCCATCATAAAACAATCCTATTTGATAAAATTACAGTGATATATAATTGTTTGCTGATGATGGCATTTTGAGCACAATTTATTGCTCATAATCATATCAAGGCACTCACACAACTTTGAAACTTCGTTTATATAATTCCATTATTTCTTATCCTTTGATTTTACTGGTAGTAATATTTTCCGTATCTCTGGTATCGGCGCTGCATCATTTGTGTTGCATGTGTTACGTGTAGATTCTATGAACAAGGATTCAGTCGCCAACTTCACCAACCACCTACCTATATTATTTTCCTAGAACTGAAGCTCTCCTCCACCCTATTGTGTGCAAATGCATGTCTTGCGATCGCTGAGTTTTTCTTCATAGTACTCATCTTCCCGCGGTCAGTTATCTTACCCTTAGCTAAATTCTTATGTTCCGACAATCTGAAAACATATGATATACCGATCTGACCCATGTGGCTGATCTGACAGACATTGCAAGGTAATTTGTAGATCATATTATTTCTTCTGATTGGATCCCTAGAGTCCTTTTACTCACAAAGCTTGTCCCTAAGTGAGTTCCATTACTATTTTTCTTTTTCTTATAAGCATTTGTAATCTTCTTAATGAACTTCGTTGGATTTTTATTTAGCTCCTTTTAACTGCTTCATTTCATCATTTTGGTTTTTTTGATGTACTACTTAGAATTATTGCTCAGTGTATTAGACACTTAACCAAGTCTGCTTCTACAGATAATGGATGAGACGAATTAATGTCCAAATATCTGTTAGAGTGAGTTGGTTTTTTATAAACGCTATTAGTTTGCCTTGTTCTGTTCGTTTTCTTTTACAATCTAACATAGCTAATTCTCCCTGCTCATTTTCGGCTTCAAATGTGAATTTTATTCTCTCTATTATTGAATTCATGTGAATGATGGAATACTTGGCAACTTTGTCAAATGAGTAGCGGTAATGTTTCAAAAGAGAGAGAGAGGGAAACAAAATGACAACAGTTCAAGATCTAATAATGACTATCCATTAAATTATGAGAAAGAGAGAGAGTTCCACGACTATAACGGGAAGAAAGTTGAGACAAAAAAACAGGAATATAAGGAAAAGGTAATGAAGAATATATAAAACAAGCGCCTGAATATTAGATTAATCTACCAAAGGAATTAAGATAACTGACATTCAAAGTAAGCGAATGAATGAGAAATCACGTTTGGATTCATCTGTCTGTACTATTTACAAACACATTTCAGTAGTACACATAGAATACCATCTTCGGAGAAGTGATTATAATCTGTAATTCAATGGAAAAGCTATTGGATTAAAATATATTAGACAAAGGAAAACGAACACCAAAATAAAATGTATCGTTTTATATAGGAATTGTAAATTCAAGACAATGTTTATGATTTTTATAATCTTCATTGCATTGTTTCTTGATAAACATTAGATCTGCTCTCAACAGTTGCGTTCTCTTAAGAAAAAAAACTTTTAAAAAATTATCATATTCAACTGCGGGAGGTACAAAATTTGAATGCAAACCTTTGTAATTTCTGGGGATTCTTCGAATTCATTTAGTCTCCACTGAATTAAAACCTAAGAGGAGCTAAATACCTCAGTAAGATAGATAATAAGTGAATATATTTTTTAAAAATCAGATCAAATTTAAATCTATTTCACTAAGGCGGCATTTATGAGGATATCAAAGCCAGGGTAGAAAAAGAAAGAGAGGCGTTCATTACTCTTAAATTAGTGTGGCAATCTACAGCACTCACCGTTCGGAGCAAAATCTGAATTTTCAACTCCAATGTCGAGTTAGTTCAGACACTTGGTATGTCATGAAGAGTATTTTCAACGGCGTATTGCAGAGTTTCATCAACAGATGCCTTGGCTCGATACCAAGTCAGATAGCCAGTTGGCCGGAAAAGATAAACAATAAGGAACTCTGGTAGGGAATCAACCTACAAATATGTAGAAGAAAATGAAGATGGACTGGACATACGCTGACGGGATCAGTGAGCGAGGTCGTAATCCAATCAAGCCCTCAAATAGAACCTGACTAGAAAGCACCGAACTGGGCTTAGTCAAAGGGTGAAATGAGGGACATCGTATGAAGAGGAAATGAAAACTTGCAGGTAGTCACTGAGTTAGCTAAAAAGACATCAGAAAACAGTGTGAAATGGAGATATAAACAAAATATTTATTTTTATTCGAATTTTTATGGTAATAATAAATCATAGGGATTTCAATATTATTGATAAACAAACTACTGATGGGCACCTGTTGTGTCATTGTTTGAGATTCTTCTGAAGTCAGCATTCATGACCTTATCGAGTGAGAAGGAAGCCTGTTCTGAACTAAGTGAAGCGGCGACATGGTACTGAAATCCTATGTTCCATTTGAGAATGCAAAGAATGAATAATAAATAATAAGAAGTGTCTTTTAAGTTAAAGTCTAACCAACTTGCTTAGCTACACCTTTCTAAATTAGGTAGTGAAAAAACTCAATCATTCTTCCAAGAATACACATCCTGAGTCTTAACTTTCCACCGTATGTTGGTTCTTTCGATGGTGAACATGAAAAAAATCTTCAGAAAAGAGACGTTCGAAGAAAAAACCGACAAACGTATCTTCAAAGCCTCCAAAATCATATTTGCACTTATTAGAGCGTATAATACTCAATTAATGGATACTGATGGTGAAGATAAATATAACTGATGCAGTTCTTCTAAAAGGATTTCTAAAAATAGGAAAGAGTTACATAATAATCAACAAGATCATGAAAATAAGGATTTGAAATTCGTCAAGGTGAGACTTGTTTATCTACTTGTCAAGTGTGAAGAATATGAAAACAAGTACTACGCAGAACAAATATGCTAGGAGTGAAAGTGTTGAATTTTATTAACTGAAAACAAAACCCAATAAGTTAAATGGGATTTAAGACAGTTGTCAAATGACAGAGTGCATAAACTTTTTCTACATGCAGATTTGAGACTTATATTGACGAATTTCTAGCGTGTCAATTATACTTAAGTTTCGGAATTTAAGACTACTGATTACAGTTAGGCTTAAAAAATGGTCCTGGTGAAACAAAGTGACCTGAATTATTTACATGCACATGAATTCCGTTAGTGAATGGTTTATATGGCTATCATGATAACAATATCCCCATTACACACACCGGATATGTTCTTCATGTACATGATAACTGTGACCTGGAGGCTAATGTTTATTTACAGCATAGTTTTTCCATATTAAATATTCAGTAACCAGTCACACAGATTTAGAGCGTTATGGTGTATATTCGTGTATCTGGATCCGATGAGAGATGATTTTAATCATGAGGACATATACAATTCGCTCGTTATACTTTATTTGTATCACAATTGTCAACGGCACAATATAACCAATCACAAGGTCGAAGTGATTTCATTGGTCAAACAATTATGTTTATTAAAACAACTATGAGATACTTTTTTTTCAGACTACATCATTACACCACAGTGTGTGCAAATCAGTTATTCGTTTAACAACAATATACCTGCATAATGCAAATTATTACTCATTACTTGTTCATATTACTATGTTGTGTAATTCAATCGACAATCTCTACCAGCCTAATATCAAAACACACGAGTATTAAATATGAACCTAATTGGGAATCATTGGATAAGCGTCCATTGCCTGCTTGGTATGACAAAGCGAAAATTGGAATATTCATTCATTGGGGAGTATTTTCTGTTCCCAGTTATAGGTGAGTAGCGACAAAATGTTAATAGCCTTGGCGGTTATTTTTCTCTGTTTATTCTGTATTTCTAGTTTCGTTCATTCATTTTATTCTTGTCTTAACAAATTTACATTCAGGGAATGAGTTAAAGGATCATTCCTTCCACCAGGTAATTGAATAACCGGTTGTCATTAAAGTTCTGCACATATACGGAGTGCTGTTCAGTACCTGGATTCGTAGGAAAGAAAACATTATTACGATTTTGTGAGCGCTCCAGATTATACTAAATGTTTCTAAATTTCTGAAAACACTTTATGCATGAAAATGGAACACAGGTGTAATTCAGAAATCAATCACATGTAACATAGTTCATCATCACTTAAGAATAATCAATAACTGATTCATGAAGCGCTAGACAGATCATTCATGAATTTTTGTTCATTGGAATTGTGGGATGACTCGAACCCAGAACTTGTGGTTCTAAATAGTAAAGTGAAATATTTTGTCTCGTTTATCCTTGATAGCTATCTCAACTTCAATATAAGTGGTAAAAACTTTATTAAAAGTCATTCGGGTGTTCGTTTATTCGTTAGTCTTTTTCGCAAAACTGATTAAGTGTATACAGAATTTTCGTAAATTCACGATGAGAATGGAAACTGTTTGATGTTCCCTGAGCTTGGGAGTTTGATAATGGATGTTTCATCAGTAGGCCTGAAGACATGTTCATTAAGAAGTTAGTTCTAAAGATGTAACTAAGCTTACCGATGTGACATCTACTGTCAGTTACTGAGGCTTAGAAAACATGAAAAAAATTTCTGAGTTAATTAACTTTTGGTGAGTATGTCTGAGATAGTCTTTAGTTAGCAGATGTAATGAGTGATGACCGTTGGTGAAGTGAAACCTGGTTAGTAGTAGAGTTCAGACCAGCGGCCGCCGGACCTAGATGGCCAGATAGTATGGTGATAGACAGACAGTAGTTACTAATCATTCACTAACGTGACAGCTAGACACTGCCGATGTTTACTGCAGTAGAATGATGACCTGGTCAGGAGTTTAGTCTCACAGACTAGCCAGCAGAGCTCGGAACTTGTAATTCCCAAGTTGCTGGCTCATTTCGTGCCGTGACTCAGATTCTCACTTCACGTTCACGCAGCATCCATTGCATTAAATAATTGTATAAAATTCAAGCCTCTGTATTCGCTTTATTATTCTACGGATTAATTATCATTGCCTGAAGTGTCGTTTCTTGCTAAATATTTACCGCTATGCAAATTAATTAGTGGTATCCACTATTTAGTTAATTTCCCTTTTTCATTGATGAAATTTATTTTCTTTTGATTTAAAATCAATTTATTGCTATTTGATGGATTTAACATGTATTTTAACGAATTACTTAGGTACGATTGTACTTATGGAAATATTTAACATTAATTTGCACAAGAGATGTGAATTAAATTATTGCTGTGTATTCATTCCAGTCATTTTTACGGTGGAGATGATTAATTGCTATCTGAGACTGGGATAAAATGTAATAAATATGATTACGTTCGACATACTACTTGTATGCTTCTGTAAGTAGTACATATACTGCGCCGGATAGTAATTGAATTTTCATCTGGATGACTTTTTACTCTTGTTGTTTAATTTCAACTGATTGAGTTGACTGATTCAGTGTTGTTTGATTTGTTATTAGCGAATCAGTTTGTACAAAGAACTATTTGACTGCCACGTTTTCTCTTATTTTCAACACATATTTTTGACTAATATCAGCCGACTTGGTACTGGACTGTTCAGTTACATTAGCATTAATGTGTTCAAATACTAGTTCGCTCATAATCTTGTGTCTTTTGGATGACTTAGCAACATGTCGTTTACAGTCAGTCTATAATTTTAAGCTTTTATTCAAACTTATATAAGCTAGGGTTAGTTACAAAAAATTTTAAAAGTATGTCTGAAATCTAAATAATATCTCTGTTTATGAAGATATTGAATCCCTTGGATAATTGCTGATTCACAGTAGAACACGTTATCAGTACATGTAATGTGATATCATCTTAAAAATAAAAAGAATGTGAAGGTTCCTCAACTGTGTTTTTACTGTTGAATAGTGAAAAGAGACTGGCTCTTTTGGCTATGCAGTTTTGTGAATAACACTTCGATGTTTGAAACGATACCCGCTAGGTCCATGTCTCACTACGATGCAGGTACTTGCAGCTGACGACTCCTGAGTAGGATGAAGTGCACTTCTTGGATTCCATTGCTAGCTGCTACCTACCAAGCAGCTGTTTTAGATTTACTTGCCAAGATATTTTCCGATTAATAAATACTGTATCATGGAAGAAAGCATATGACAATATCAGAAAATCACGTAATTTGTATATGGTACTAAAATTACTATTTTGTTTAGTGTTGAGACAAAATAAAAATGATGAACTATTGACTTAATTTTTGAAATCATCAATTCGCAAAACATCGGTTGAAAAAGGTCAAGTTCAACTTTTTTCCTTCTTATTTTAACTACTTATGAAGTGTACAAATATATTTCAGTTAAGATGGAACCGAAAATTCCAGTAAGTTTGTAAAATTAGTTGGTGGGTTTTCAGATATTTGACTGATTTCAGTATATATATATATATATACGTCTATATTGAGAGGTGGGAGTACTATGAAATTCTGCAACCCACTAATCACCAGTAAATAACTTTGAGATCGATTTCTTGACGTCCTAATGTGAAGTTGAGACAATTGAAGTCCAACAAGTTGGTTGTGAATAAAGATATTCAATGATAGAACTGAATGAAAGCCGAACTGCATCGCGAACTGGAGGAATTAAGGGGTGACGTATCACTGCGATTCAGTGGTAACACGTGTTCCATGAAACAAATTGTTCTTGAATTTAATTCTTTAGAAGATCATGGATACTGAAGCGTAGTCATCAAACAACTAGCAGGAGGAACATTCGATGCTACTTGGTTTTCAAAAGCTTTTTTCTAGCTGATTTCGTTCTGCAGTGGAATCTATCTCCAAAATCAATAAGACCTTCTGAATTATTGCATGAGATGGGATTCGGATACTGTATTAGAATATAATTACATTTATTTGATAAAACAGGCAGTAATATTAACAATCAGATAGCGTTTCGAGCACAATTTATTGCTCATAATTATATCAAAGTACTCAAATAACTTTCTTGCTTCCTTCATATACATGAGTAAAAGTTGATTAAACATTTGAAGAAAACCAATATAAGACTTGAGTGAAACAGAAAGGAAGATAAAGTACATTCGGAAGTAATATTGGTGTTATCAATAAAATACAATAAGATGGGAAATAAGACGAGTGTTATATATAAGTCAATAAGACAGAAAATAAGATGTTTTTTTACAGTAAAAATAAGTAACTTGTTAGAATGTTATAGTGTGAATTGAATGCATTTTGACATTATTTATTATCCCGCTCTGGTTTGACTGGTAGTAATATCTTCCATATCTCTGGTATTTGCGTTGAGTCATTTCTGTTGCGTGTGTTGGGTGTAGATTCTATGAGCAAGGATTCAGTAATCAACCTCTCTCCCCACCTACCTATATTACGTTTTAGAATTTTGACTCTCTCCCACCCATCCTATTGTGTGGTTGTGTGTTAATGCATGCAGTGCGATTGCTGAGTTTTTCTAAATTATTTATCAATCATTCTAAACTTAGCTAAATTCTGACAATCTGACTAGCGCCGATCTACTGGTCTGACTGACCTATGTAGTTGACTTAATTCACAGACATTGCAAGGTATTTTGTAAATTATATTATTTTGTTTAATTGGGTCCACTGAGTTCTTTAGCCTACAGAGCTTGTCTCTGAGTGAGTGGGGGTCCATGGAGTTCTGAGAACCAAAAGCTGGAGACTGTTGGTGATTTGGTAGCAAACCAACCTCAGTGGTGCAGTGGCATTCATTCGCTGTAATGTTCCAGATCCATTAGGTCTTCACGTTATTCCATGCCACTGTTCTTTCTCCTATACATTTTGCTCATTGTATTTCTTTTTCTTTCTTTTCTCTACCTGTGTGTGCTATGTGGGGTGTGTTAACTCCAACTGCTGCACTTCTGTGCGAAGTTCTATGTTGAAACCCAGTCGGTTACAATAATTACATGGTATCTGCTAAATAATATTATCTTTCTCAATTGGACTCATCGGGTGTATAAGCCGACAAAGTTCGTCTCTGTATTAGTTAGTTGGTTTAAACGCCAACCAAACTGCAGCTTTATTAAGAATCCCATGTGGGGGCTCTGATTATTCATTTTTATATAGCAGTACTATTGAGGCTTTGAATTCCTTATTATTTATGTTGTTTTCAATATATACATCACTACTGTTATTTTTCTTCTGGGTCTTTATACGACTGTAGATAAAGTCTGGTGGGTATTTATTTACTAGCAATGCTTTCCTTATTTGTTTGATTTCATTATTTAAATCTCCTGACCTGCTGTTTAAGCTTCTGTCTTGATTGCTCAAACATTCGACTGAATCTACTTTTACCGATTTTGGGTGGGATGATTCAAAGTTTCAGTATCTTTTAGAATGTGGCAATTTTCTGAAGTTTCTAGTCTCTATTACGCAATCTTTTTTTCGTTTTGTTTTACAGTCTAGCGTGACCAACTCATACTGTTCATGTTCTAACTGGAAAGTGAACTGAATCCTGCCTACTACTGAGTTTATATGTGTGATGAACCCGAGAATATATTAAGATCTCAACACAGCGAATGTGTAACCCACCTATCCGCATCATAAAGTATGGGCAAGATTAAAAGTTTTTAGAAATTCGCGTTTCCAGCTGCCCATAAATATGTCCTCTACTATTGGGGATACTGCCACTCCATTTGTTTGTTTGCATGTTTAATTTTGAAATCTGAACCCCATAGAGATTGGACATAACTGAACACCTAATCTTATTTCTTAAAACGATAGATTAATTCTATTTGTTAGTTTAGGGTAAATATCTAGCTCATTCCTAACTGCTTTCAGATATGTGTAGAAACTTATCACTTCAAAAATAATCATTTTTTCTTCCTTTTCTATTTTCAAACGTCATTCAGTTATAACTACTGTATCACTATGTTTTAATATGAAATAAACTTATCCAGAATGGAATTAGATCTTCAAAAGCCTAATATATGAAAAGTATTATCAACATATAAAACAAGAATTACACATTAGATGTAAATCGTTAATTCGACATAACTGAACGATAATATTTCAGCCGTTATACAGTCTGAATAGAATGTTTATAATTATATGATTTTTGTTGATCAATACAAAAAAGTAATCATCATTGTCACCTGATCATGACACTCAATGCAGTCAAGTTTGTATTGTTTATTATAAGATAGTAAGTAACTGTAGCAAATTCAAGATTGTTATTTTAATAAGTTCAACTAACTAATGTAGTTCACTATGTATTGTAATATAGTGTTGTGACATTGTAGTCATGATTTATTTAGGTTAGACTAACTTAAGTAAGATGAAATAGTAACAGTTTAATAATTCTGTTATATTACAGAACAGTATGTCAAAATGCAGCTTATTGAATGCATACATTCACTGGTCACTAAACAGTAATCAGTGTCAGGAGTCTAGTCTTCGGTATTGGAGCAAACTGAATTCTATGCCAGTCAAATTCGCAATCATCCCAAAGGCGAGATCAGTATCTTCGAAATTACAGATACGCATTGCTGATGAGAGCCGATAAGCAGTTTACTTAGATCCAGGGATTCCTACTGACTGCCTCCAACAACCTAACATCGATCACTGAGTTTGCACTTTATCAAGTGGTGGGAGTTTGTTGGCTGTTGGATGCTTCGCTTTATTTCGATTTTATGCTGGGTGAGATTTATCAGGCAGGAAGAAATATACCTGAAACTCACTTCATAACTGATCGGTTATGAACGGGATAGAAAAAACGTCCGACATCGGCACACGATAATGTTTGACTGATCACTGAAATACACTTTTTGTTGCCTAACTTTAACGGTAATCAGATGTTTTACTGTTAGCCTATTCACTTCATTACTGTCTTATCTGTAGGGGTGGGATATTTTTATGAGAAATGTGTCTCATAAATGCATCGTAGATGTTTGAATTCATCTAGTTTAACAATACAAACTTATTCAGTTTATTTTGGTAATTATCTGTAGCATTTTATTTTTTAACGATATCATTTAATCAGGTTAAAAATATAATATTCGGTTACAACAAAACAAAGTGATTTTCAAGTTTTGTTTTGCAGGATCTGAATTGATTTCAAGTAAGATCATTGACTGATATCAGTTTTATAACCATTTGTAACCATGTTTCGTCTTAGTTTTGGACTCCTCACCAGCACGAATCCAGCAATCCACCACCGAGCCAGCCTACTGAACATTCAGTCACTGAGATGGAATCCAATCACCCATGAATCCTGACTTCTATTAGCTTGCGATAAATAACGTCATCGCTAGCCAGTGTCGTCATTGGATGATTCTGAGTATATCTAAACCTTTTTATTCAAACAATCTTTATCATTGCATTATCATTCTGATCTAATTCTCTCTACTTCTTTTATACATCATCTTGAGGTGTAGTAACTTGCAATGATGTATTTCCATGCTACTTGGTACAGTAGTTAATCATTCAGTCAATTCTACTTAATAAACAAATGATTAAATTTTGATACGCTTTTGAAATTTAGGAATACCAACAGGCTTTTCAGTGTCAAAGATCCCGTTTGCTATTTCTGTTGACTTTTCTCTTTTAGCTCATTGTCTTACTTCAATTTCAGAACTCTGTGTCATCATGTAACAATCAGTCAGTCTTCAGGTTTCTAGAGGTACATTAAGTAAACAGCAAGTGGTTGTTTCTATGACTGCCTGTTCTGTATTTTGCCACCTAACAATTGGTAATTTGGTTATATCTAGTTGGGCTATTCCCACCTACAAGCAAGAGTTTTTGAGAGAGAAATTTGTCAGGAACAATAATCAACCACACAAGACAGATGTCTCTCAGTTATTGTGAGCAATAGTGACATGTGAATTCTACCAAGTCGTGTTTATATTATTTTGACCTGGCTAGGAAATACTACCGTTTAGTGTCATTAATTTCCAGTTATTCATACCACTCAGAAGTATATACCATCCTGCTGAAATTCCAGTGTAATTCATCTATGCTAAAGTAAACATTATGAGTATTTACTTGAAAATACTTCTCATTCATCTGCTTGTTTCATATTCTCAGAAAATGTTTTTCACCATTAATGTAACTTTTTATTCCCATTGTCATATTCAAGGACTGAATGGTTTTGGTGGTTTTGGAAAGGTGATTCAAAATCGATGCCAGAAATCTCTGACTACATGAAAAAATATCATGATCCAGATTTTGCGTATGCTGATTTCGCCAAACAATTTCATGCTGAATTCTTTCAGCCAAATGAATGGGCTGATTTGTTCAATAAGTCTGGAGCACGTTATGTTGTTTTAACAGCTAAACATCATGAAGGCTTTTGTAATTGGCCATCGAAAAATTCATGGCAATGGAATTCAATGGATGTTGGTCCAAGACGTGATCTAGTCGGTGAGTTAGCTGAAGCTATTCGTAAAAGAACAAGTCTACGTTTTGGTGTATACCATTCATTGTTTGAATGGTTCAATCCTTTATATATCAGTGATAGAGAAAGTAATTTTACAAAACAGGTGAGTAGAAATATCTGTTAAGGTTATTTCAATTTCCCCTGTTGACTGACTTTTATTGAACTTAGGAACTTGCCCTGTGTTGACATGCTGGCAACTAGCGTCGATGTTTTGGATAATGCCCTGAAATAATCACAGTGTTGTTTGATCGGGTGATATTTTAGCATTTGAAATAAGTGCTGAGTTACAGTCTCAGTCGCAACACATACAATAATTTTTTTTCACTCCTTTGCATTCTGAATGGAATGCAGGACTTCAAGCTTTGGAGTCTCAGTAGCATTTGTGTTGTTTCTACTGCTGGTCTAACACCAAAACTACCCTCTCTTACTGGTCTGCTACCGGAAAGGCGAGGTTTAGGAGTGGATCTACCGGGAATCGATCCCCGAGCACGTGGGTGGTTGGTGAATGTTGGGCTCCTGAACCTTATATTGATTTCACAATTTACTAACAGTAATACCGTCCTCGACAGTCTCCTGCTGGATTCTTCTCACAGTTACTACTTTCTTCTGGCATTTCTTCTTTACTGGCTTTTCTACTGACACAGAAATTTTCAGTGCTTTTCAAAGATGCTAGTCAAAATATATTACTCATATTTGTTCTCAAGTGGCTCCAGTGTTAGTTATAGATGATTGCATAAAATTGGCAGTTCGTTCGTGGGCAGACATTTTCCTTTAAACCTCGTCAGACTATGTGAAAGTTGAATTAGGATTCGTTTTAATATGTCACAGAATAGTCCAGAATGATTTTGCACTGTCAGTTGAAAATCTCGTTGATATTATGCAGAAGCACTAGAAGTGAGACTACATTCACAAGGCAATCGAGAAGGCTGTGTGTGTGAAGGGTCGGAGTGAGATGAAGATAACTTTCTTGAGTCACAGTCTAAGGTATTCACAATATCGCTATATTACATGCCGTATTCTCTGTCACCCCTGAAATGCAAATGAGCAACATTTCAAGAGAAAATGGGGAGTAAAGCCGTTTTTACAAGTCAGTGTCTGTTGAAACAAAAGCAAATAAAATTAGCGTGATAATATCGTTTGCATGACAGTTTAGGCTATCAAATTCTCAGATTGTTGAATAACCTCCATAGGAGAAGCCTAATGGATTATTCTTCTTTCTAATATTTCTAATAATGAAAAATACCTATTGCACTCTTAGTAGATCCATCGAAACCTCTTTGCGGACATGTGGGACTGTTTCCTCAGACTCGACTCGAAGAAACTCATGTCGAATAAATTATACTCCTGACTCCATAGGAATAGATGAACACTACCATACATATGGCAGTGTTCCTTGGATTGTTGAAGAACATTAGGCAACTGGACGACTGTCACCCTCAAGGTAGACGCCAAGTTATTTCTGAATTTTTTAAAATATAGTCTTTTACCAATATAAACGTCTTGTTTGTCTTAACAGTAATGTGGAAAATTCAGCGATATTTACCATATCAGTGACTAACTTTCCTTCTTTGTATTGTGTTCTGTTTGTATTTTCTGTCACTTATAATTAGTGTGACGCTTAAGAAATTTCGATAAGCGTCTCGCTGACTGAGAAACTCAAGCCTTTTTTCTTTACTTTACTAGTCTTTAAGCATCTTGGTTCGTTTCTCAGATCTAGTCTCTTGACTTTTTCTATCACTGCACATCAGGTTCAGGGAAGCTCTAACTGGAGTCCAGTAGCTCATGATTTCGAACTGTTATCATATGCAGCTTAGTACATCCGAATGGTTACTACCTACTATTTAAAACCTTACTAGTGGACAGTGTGTCTCTATCGATGTTAGATAAATTTACATGATAATACATGACACACACACACACACACAAGGATACATTATCCGCATTCAAATCCTTAGGTTTTTTTGATTTTCAATTTTTGGATGACTAATTGGGCATCTACGGTTGGCATGGTGGAGATCGTCTGAAGAGGAAATTAAAGCTTATGGATTATGGTACAGTCAGTTAAAAAAAAGACTGTAGAAAACAGAGTGAGACGGCAATGCACTGCAGAAGCCCTAAGTTTTACTAAGAACCAAAGAGACAATAAGTATAGTATAATAAGCCGCAATTTTATATTAGCTTACATTATGCATCCACTTACCGGCTGACAATACTCTTACAGTTATCGACTGACTTCAAGTTTAATTTTAACACTGTTCTGAAAAGTATGTAGAAAATACAAAATATGCTAACCTAGTCCGTTATCAAAAGAAAGTAAAACAAACAAAATTACCAGTAATCAAGTGAAGCAACGAAAAACAATTTCACACAGAGTATTCATTCGTACTACCTTCTTCTTTATATGAACAGGTTGAGACAAAAAAACATTTGAGTTTCAGTGACACAACTTAAGCAGTATGCGTGTATGTGATTAATATTCACATGGAATAAGTAAGTAAGTAAGCAATAAGTAAAAGATGTATACCAGTGTGATAACAAATATGCATCTCGAATTCTATATAGCAGCTTGAGGCAACAGGCATTATTCATTTCTACCATTTATGTAGACCACTAAATAAGTTAATCTTCGTGTGTCAATGTAATTCTATACTAACAGTTATTGATTGATAATTTATTGATTTATATTTATATAAATAACTTAGTTACAATTTGTCATTGATAAATGGTAGCAGGCATGCATTCAAATTAAAAGTATGCCAGATGGAACGACATGTTAATGATTAGACAAGGACTGATGAGAAACTTTTCAAATGGTTCTTTAAATTTAGGATTTAGACAAATGCCAGCATATTGTGAGTAAACAGATACATTTGAACACAAAATGATAGAGCAAATACATAATATTCAAAGAGTAATTGTTACTGTCAAAGTTGATGTGTTCTAGAAAATACTGAGTTGTTAAGATTAAGAGAATTACAGTTCAAAGTTATGGTCAAGGTAAGGAAAGTGATTGTACGAACGTCGAATACACAGGTTCGGCCTCTTTAGGTGGATTCCTCTGGCTACAGTTATATGTAAAAAAGACGAACTCGTAAAGCGAAATTAAGATCAGTCAGAATATCGCAGATAACTTTAATTACCATGTTAACATCCACTTTATGTTCAGTATCTACAAGGTGAGTTAAAACAGAGCTTCCAGTACACTTTGTATGTGCTTTGCTTGACCACGCTTGATGATGTTCAGAAATCTGAGTAGAACATGCCTAACTCTAGGCTCCGTGTAGTTAGAGGAGCAGTCAAAATGTTAGATACACATAAGGAAGGCGGAATTACCCAAGAGAAACGTCTTCTTTGGAGCTGCTGACATACCAGATTACATTGACAGTTTCTTTTCCCCTAAGTCATCTTCAAGTTATTATTGTTTTTACCATCATTGTTGCATTATTTTCCTCTTACTGCTTTCTGTTGTTCAAGTTTCATTCTAATCCTATATCAGGTGACGAATGCGGTGTCCTGGTGTGCGCAATACATATCCCAGGCATTTCAATCAGTGGGGTTTCACAACTTCATTGATAGACTTCCCCTGCTTACTCCTACGTAACTATTAAAACACAGCATACATAACTGTCATTTGATATAAGTATTGAACTTCATCACTTGAGAAGACTGTGAAGAAATTAAGTATTTTCTTGTTTGTTTTTCTTATATTTTTCACCCCGGGATTTGTGTCCTCATACAACATTTATTTCATGAATTTTTCTATCTTAATTTTTAAAAGACATTTGTTGAGCAGAAAACGATGCCTGAATTATACGATTTAGTGCTACGTTATAAACCGGATGTAATTTGGTCGGATGGTGATGTCGGTCCAGACACTTACTGGAATTCAACACACTTTCTTGCTTGGCTTTACAATGAGTCCCCAGTTAAAGATACTGTTGTTACTAATGATCGTTGGGGTAATGGATGCTCGTGTAAACATGGGGGTTATTATTCATGCGAAGATCATTATCGTCCAGGAAGATTAGTTAATCATAAATGGGAAAACTGTATGACACTGGATTGTTGTTCATGGGGTTTTAGAAGAGAAATTACACTGAGCAGTGTATTAACACCAGAGGTAAGTGTTTTCATAAGGCTTTAACTATTTTTGTCATAATCAACCTACATTTATTAATTGGTTATAACAATTGCAATTTATTGTCATCTGGTTGTTCTATAAAAGAGTACCTTGGGAATTCGTCACAGTCAAATCCACTCGATAAATCCTTTATATATATATATATATATATATATATATATATATATATATATAAGATACGACTGAACTTCTCACAGACAGTGAGACCACAACATTTGGAATAGTTAAAGCATTAGTGGCCCAGAAATCCAAACCAACTCCAGATTTCGAAAATAATTACGTTTAACCTTTGTCACTGAGACGGCTGTCATAGCCTGTCATTTTCTCATGAAAATTATGTAACTGTGTCTGTTATCCTCACGGCCTGTTAATTTTCTTATGTTTGTCCCCATTTGCATTACGTAACCTTATTTAGTTATTCGCTATATTTTGACACCTCACCAGAGATAAATCTGAAATTTCAGCCCCTCTTTTATTGCATGTTCACAGCCTAGTTGATGACCTCATCGAAAATAGACAATTTTCCTTCTTTCCAACCGTCTTTTCAACATTCAGTTCGTGTACTTATAGGATTTAACAAACTGATATGGAGAACTATTTTGTAAGATGTCTTGTGAAAGTCATCATATGAGTTATCTGCATACCGCCGATTGTGTCTTTGATTAAATTAATCATAACTGAGTAATGTTAACCGCGGAAATTTATGTATACCCTTATTCTTCTTCGGTCCCCCACGTAAAAGCATCAAAACTTGAATTAATCATTCACTCCATTATTATATAATTATTATTATTGTTTCCTTTAATTCCTAGAGGAACATACGGCTTCAGCCGTGCGTCTCCATTGCGTTCGGTTCTCTGCTAGAGTCTTCACCTGGCTCCAAGTCTGCCCACACGTTTTCATCTCCTCTTCACATGACCTCCTCCAAGTCACCATCGCACTGACGACCAACTCGCCGCTTCCCTTTCGGGTTCCACTCGAGCAATGGCTTGTCTAGTGATGTCACTTGATGGTTTCCTTAGAGTATGGCCAATCCATCTCCATTTCTTCCTGCCCATTTGTTTCACAATCGGTTCCTGGTTGGTTCGCTCATTGCCAGAGATCTCTGTTGCTGATCTTTTCTGGCCGGCCATCTGATCTTGAGTATTGAGCGAAGACAACTGTTAATGAAGGTCTGTAGTTTGTTTGAGGTGCTCTTTATGATGCGCCAAGTCTCTGATCCGTAAAGTAGTACTGACTTTACATTGGAGTTGAAAATTCGGATCTTATTTTTGATGCTGAATGCTATTGACCTCCACACAGACTTGAGAGTAGTGCAAGCTTATCTTGCTTTCCCGATTCTTGCTTTGATATCCTCGTCAGTTCCGCCTATAGTTGAAACGATGCTTCCGAGGTAGGTAAAAGAGGTTGTTTCTTTCAGGTTCCTCCCATTTATGCTGATTGTTGTCTGTTGTTGTTGCCCAGGAATCTTCATCACCTCTGTCTTCTCAGTGTTCACCTGAAGTCCTATCTTCTCTGGATGCTTCTTCTGCCAACTTGTTGCTTTTCGCTTGCATATCTTCCAGTTTGTGGGAAATCAGACATAAATCATCAGCGAAGTCCAGATCCTTCAAGGTTTTTGTGTGGGTGTATTTTATGCCTGTTTCCTCATTGCCCGCTGTCTGTCGCATTATCCAGTCTACTGTAATCAGGAAAATCATTGGCGATAGTAGGCAGCCAGCCTTGTCTTACTCCTGTCCTCACTATTATAATCATCACAGTAACTCCAATTTTTTGACGACACTTCACCCAGCTTATATTTATTCATATCAAATCCTTTCTTTCATAACCTTTTCTTTATTTCATCTATACCATCCCAACCCTTTAACAAAAATGCTATTTCATCACCATCATCATCACACGTACAGCGGCTGAACAATTTTTATTTCACCTACATTCTTTCTCAGTGTAACACAAATACAACTTCATAGCTTCGAAATGAAGTCCTTGGAAAGCAGAGATCTTTTTTGCTGGATGGGAATTTTTGTTTTCTCTATCACTGGTATCCATCAGATCACACAATATAGTTTGAATGTTTTCAATTTACAACGAAAATCGTAGTGACATTTCTCTACATACTGTAAGGTTTGCAAACACACTTGGTTCACAATGATGACATGCGTATTATATTAAAATATAGGGGAGATTACTGTCACAAGACAGTAATCGGTGTCCTTAATCTAGACCTTAGTGTTAGTTTGCAGTGTGGTCACTGAGTTAAGTGAATGAACATCGCAGTGTGCTTTGAGTCAGTGTTAATTGAAGTCACTAACCAATTGCTGACATATTAATCATTGCTATCACTTAAATACTACCTGTTGCTTAAGCTGTATGAGATGGTTAAAGATTTCCAGAAACTTTTTTGTTAATATTTTAGTAGCTGGCAATACGTTGCGCTTATAATTGATTCCTGTAAAATACATAAATCATGCTTGAGAAATGTTATTTATATGGCTTCAGAAATCCGAAAAAGGTAATGGCTGCTTTGTTTGCTGAGTATTCTGAACTACTCCAAATAATCATCTTGGTGTCTTGCGTCCACCAAGGGCATAAAGACTGATCTGTTTAAACTAAGGCTCTCCAATGCACATTCAGAGAATTTCAGGTAAACCCTTATTTCTGTTCGTCAGATGCAACCGACATCGGATATAAACGTAAATCGATTTAAGCAATGGAGCGTAAACTGTTTCGGATAAGTTTAGTGTTAGCTATCCCAGTCAAAACTCAGGGAAACTGTAGATACTGTTTACGTATAGTAAATAATTTCAAAGATTTTAGCAAGATAAGCCTTCAGGCCTTTTGAGTATTACCACAGGATACTAGGTTGCGTCTTATGGAGTTGGAGTAATCTATATTTAGCCAGTTAAACAAGCTTTTTCTACACTTACTCCTATTATACGGGAAGAATTTCTCCACTTTTCATTTACAGAACTTATTTAGCTATTCTTGGAAGAGATGGAAATCAGTAGACCCATTGACATCACATCAAATCCTGTGATCATTGGGACATAACAGAATTTTACTAGATATCGTGATCCATCGAGATATTGATTTCTAACAGCTGGCAGACTGTCTTTGAAATAGTCCTTTAATCACTGGAATAAAGGTCCTCTCGCTCATGTAATATATAATTCATAAAGCATTAGACTAAAGTACACTATTACCGAGGAAAGTATTTAAACCTGCTGACGAGACCAGTGAACAAGAAATTCACTTCGAAAGCTTCCTATTGATTGCTTCATACCATTTAACAGTAACTGTTATGTTGCAGTTCGGACAGGATTCAATGGATTTACCTCATAGCGTCTTGTACCTGGCTGACTCAATTTGCTCTTTCAAGCAGATTATTTGAGGCTGACAATCATCTTTAATTTCGACAAGATAAAAGCTAAAAGTTTTCAGGTGATCTTATTGTATTTACTACTGTAAGCCTTTTTTCACATGTTCAATTATATCCAACGAAAAAACTTCTGTTATTTTAATCTGCCTTTTGTAGGTGCTTTTAAACGAAGTTATCACGACTGTCGCATATGGTGGAAATATTCTAATCAATGTTGGGCCTACAGCTTGGGGCAAAATTTCACCAATTTATGAAGAACGCTTACTTCAGTTAGGCGAATGGTTGTCTGTTAACGGTGAGGCTATCTACGAAACTCAACCGTGGAGAATCCAGAGAGAAACTAATCCAGATTTTGTTTGGTAAGCAGAAGTGTGTAAATAACATGCTCAGTATTCTAAGATGGTGAAATGTATAGTAAGGTGCTGATAAGTCAGTAACTAAATTTCAGTGTTCTAAATGAAATACATAGAATTACTGAATGCGTAATATATGACGATTTATCACACTTGAAATGAAAGTTACATGAAATGACAGTCGGCTATGGACCGAAGCAGACACTTCGGTGTGAATTAAAAGCAGAACCTGTTGAACAGGGACACTTGAATTACAAAGTGCTCGTGAACAAAATATACCTCAGTAATGAATTACAGTTTAGTAAAATTAATTTCCCAAACTACATATGATTTTTTGAAATTATTTTGCATTTATCCCCTAATTTTTTTCGCTGCATCGAAATTCAAGGTCTGCAGTAACATGTTAGCTCTTAGTACTGACGCTTCGAAGGTGCCTTGACGTAAACTTAATGTCCTTTGGTTGATTATTACCAAACAATTGCATCTAGGAGATGCATTTTGGTTCTGCCACTCACTGGAATACATGTACACCCAGCTAGTAAGTCTTGAATAGAATTCCACTGAATCCCATTGCTGGCTAATGACGACCGAGCAATGCAATACATATTGCCTTACAAAAAATGGAAGTTATAACATTGATACATTTTTTTTGGTTTTTGTTTAGGTACACCTATAAAGTGAAAGATACTATTAAAAGCATAGATTTGTCAAGACAGATGACTATTTTGGATTTCATTAATAATTTACAATATCTCAAAGAAAATCCAGCAACAGTCTATGCTATTTTAACAAAATGGCCAGAGAAAAAGTGTACAACAGTCAAGAATACTGATGAATCAGAATCGATAAGCATCCAGTGTAGGCGTGAACTTATTCTACCATCAGTATCTGTAAAACCGAATCTTTCACAGTTCACTTTACTCGATGGCAGTGCAACTGGCATGCCATTACCATTCACACCAATCAAACAGTCGTCTTCAAGTGGTGTCAAGATTGATCTGCCTGATTTAAGTATTGAGTCTAGTCAAAAACAGTTGAAATGGGCTTGGTCAATACGCATGACCAATGTATTTTAGATGAAAAAGTTGACTAAGAAGGAGAAGAATATTAACCAAGTGTTTATTGTTTATTTATACAATGTGAACAATGACGGTGATGATGACAATGATTTTAAAAGAAGTAATTTTATGCACACAAAAATCTGATAAGTAATACAGAAACACCCTTTCTAACTATTGCATACTCTTTTATTATAACTATTATTACACACATGTTCTTGTATAATTATTATGTACGCCCATTTTGCTTACTATTGATTTTCCTTAAAATATATATAAAGCGAAAATAGAGGTTACTTTATTGGCAAGCTCTGTCACTTGAGATCATTAGGAGATGAGTCACGCATGACATCTTATCGCTTTCCACCTCGAGCAATGTCAGCTGAAATAGCAATGGGCTGGAAAATAGTTATAAACTGTCAAGCCAAAACATGGCATCAATTTTGTGAAGTAACTGATAACTGGTTTGAGCTACACCTATACAGGTGTAGATTGTCTGTCTGGGATCCATGAGACGTTAAGAGTCATTCATAGTGGCATGACTCAAAATCGTTCTCAGTTTCACAAATGCATTCCGTCTTTGTTATCTTCCAGTTTCATTCTATTCTCAGTACTTTTTTTAAAGTAATTATTCTTTATCCCATACATTTGTGTTCATTACAATTTCACTGAACCTGGAGACGGTCATAATTGGGTATCCATGGTACAGTTATCCTTGCTTTCACAGCATGTTTAAGAAAAATTTAAAACAAGATTTCTCTGAACGTTTCGTTGTGTAAGCCACGGCTTTTAAAGCAGACTTATTAGTATTTAATTATCCATTAAAAGTTTTTTTTAAATTACATAAACTGAAGTGAGTTCCTTTGAAGGTCGCTTTTCGGTGGACATTTGTGTAGCGTTATTAGAAGACGGAGATTGTCTGAACAATCTGATCACGCTTTTACTCGTCAAGTCAATTTATATGAAAAAAATAAAGGGCAATTGGAGTACACAAAGTGACAGAATGGATTTAAGGATAATTTATACAACGTTTGGTTATCCAGTCAGATAAGGATTACCAAGGTAGCTTTAGAGTAATAATAAATTGTTTTTGAACATACAAGGGGGTGGGGGCTAAGTTTATGGATAGCTATAGCCTTATCGTATTTCAGCTAGTGCCCTTAACCATTTTTGCAGTTTTGTGAAAATCAATCTTTTGGATCATATCGATTAGATGTTTGGCTATGTAGGAAGTTGGTAGTCTGTCACTTGAGTCTATTGATTTTGCAAAGTTCATCTGTCTTTCTAACCACTTTGGAATCTGCTCTCTCACCCTCACATGCGCGATTACTCCTCCCTATGTACGTGTGTCCACACACACACACACTAAAATTGGTTAATAGTGTGGGGTGTGACATGATCACTTGTGCACTTTTGAGGTTTGCAGGGGAGTATATATTTTGGCTTTTTTTAATGATTACAAGCCCGGCTGCACGAGACTTTCACTTAGAAATGAAGTAGAATTAAAAAGACTAGTAAAAAGATCAGCGATATCAATGCATGCTATAGACAGCGGACATAGGATCGATTTCGACAATATATATATATATATATATTTATTTTTTAAGTAATCATATCTGGTGAGGGAATTGGATCGAAGGTGTGAATACATGAAATAATAAAAGTCAAACTATTTGTGATTAGAATCATAGTTAAACGTCAAGTAGCAAAACAATTAGTGTCATATATAGAATAATTCATAAGATGTATAGATGTTGGAAAGGGGTGTATAATTATAGGATTAGTAGGCTAATATAAAACGTTACATAACATGGTGTGAAATTTGAATGGAGAAAATTCAATATTGTAAAAAAAATTTTGGATTTAGAATGACAAGTGGGACAAACGGAAACAATCCAAAGTGAGAATAGTAATAATAATCGTAGTAATGGGGGAAAGGTACACAGATTAACTAAATAAACAAAATAAATAAATGTCTATCCCTCTACGGCCAAGGCAGAAGTAGGTATTGTACATACTTCTTTTGGATATAAAGGTTTGGCTTAAATTAATGAATGGTCAAGGCCTCCGCTGTATTTAGAAGTCTATAACGAAGAAAACGTGGCAAGTTAGCATGGATTCGGTAGATGATCTTAAAATCATGGTCAGGGTTGGTAGAGTGACAGGAGTCGATCAGGTGTTCTAGAATAGAGCTTCGCACACTCTTCCTTTCTCCCTTGTAAAACCATGCTGGAATATGTTCTCGTATCCGTGTGGAAAGCATTCTCTAGTTACGGCCACCTTGCTCCACAAGAGCAGGTGAACTGATAGATGCACATGTGGACGGCCAAATGGTGGAACTTATCTTATACAGAGATGGAGAACAACTTGCGGCTGATGAACGTCATTTGTAATTTTGCTGCAAACAACGTCTTATTGACTGATTTAGAGAGACGGTTTTTGAGCATACCTGAAGCTTGATCACCTTTGAATTCCAAGTTCATGAATAAGGTTTTCTTTGGAACTGAGTCGGTGACCAGTTTGGAATGCTTATCTTTCGTGTTTCTGTCAATAAATCGGTTTGGGTAACCGTTTTCTGCAAGCGTGGCTTTTAGGAAGTCAAGTTCTCAGTCAACGCAATCAGAGCTACAAATGTTTCTTATCCTAAAGCAGAGCGAATGAATTAAGTTCCTTTTCCTGGAGATAAGCAACCAACTATAAAAATTAGTTAGTTGTCCATTCCATGTACAGATGATTATACGGCGATTTGACATTAGTCATTACAGAAATGTGATGACTATTAACATTTTTCTGTTGGCACCAATGTCTAATAACAAGTGACCTTCAAAGGAACTCACTTCAGCTTATGTAATTTTTTGACTTTAATGGTTAATACAATGCGAATAATTCTGCTGAAGAAGCCGTGGCTTACACAGCGAAACGATCAGAAAAATCTTGTTTTAAATTTATTTTTATTTTATTTTAAATAATTTATCATGATTCAGTCTGAATTATCACTCAAATTATTTTAGGAAGTTCGTAACATCTACGGTCTGGAAACTTAAAATCTTAATTATCCTTACTTCCTTAAAAGTCAGCCTCTAAACTATGTGAAATTTAAGTATTGGTTTGTAGGGATTTGGTTGATTGGTTACAGGATTTCATCATGAGCTGACATCGGTTAGAGAACCAGAAGGTCCTGGGTTCGAACCCCGGTTGGTGGGTGCGTACTGCTGAATAGTCCCAAACTAGGACGAAACAGCTGTCCAGTACTCCCAGGTTTTCCAATGGTTCTCTAACCCATGTCAGCTCATGATGAAATCCTGTAACCATATGTGAAATTTGTTAATTGGAGAGTAAGTGAAGATGAGTACAGCAGCAGAATTGACACTAACAGCATAATGATTACTAGCATATTATTTCACTTGCTTACCTGGTTATCACTGAACCGACATCATCTGTAACTGACGACTATTTAGTGTGGATTTAAAATGTAGAATTACTCACGACAAAAGTTGTAAATAAGTTGCTTGTTATTGATTTTAAATGAGTAGTATCTATGCAAAATGAAAACGATTCTAAATATTTTCATCGGTAGATTGTTTTATTAGTGTTGCCTTCTCTGAAATGAATGATTTAAGTATGAAACTTGGATTGCCATTCTGGACGACATCATCGGTGTAAACCATAGTAAGCAATGAAACTCACTCACCTCCTTTACTCTCTCCTAATACATACGTCTTTGTTCTAAATATGCTTAGTCGTTTCGTATTTTCTCTGTCGAACACATAACTACAGTTCTACATATGCATTGGTGTGAGTGGAAGGATGTTAAATTGCAGACTGCTATTCATAAAGACATGTGTGAAGGGAGAGATATTTTTTGTCTACTATAGTTAATTATCTCAGTCTATGCTTACACTATGTAGATTCTGTTCGTGAATGTAAATAATACAACAAAAAACTTGTCACTTGTCACTCAGGTGAAGACTTGTCTCCCAGTTTACGGAAAAGGAATTGAAGGCAAGGAAACTTCCAGAGTTAATTTAAAAATAAATTTGTTTCACCAGTTACATCTGCTATTGTAGACTGAAAAACAGAAAATAATTCAATATAGACACAAATAGCTTGTATGATGTTCTCTGAAAATGCAGTAACACTTCACAACTAAATTTGACTATAGACTGTGTAAGCTATTTATTCTCCTGCTTTTCTAATGAGCCGAAATAAGCAGTCAAAAGTTTCCCAACAGTTATTATATACCCTGGTCAATTCTCACGACAGGGTCAATTTTATGGATCGAAGCAAAGTAATGGAGTGATAATAATGGCTGAAAGACAATTTTTCTACCAGTACGAGGTTAACGTAACCTCGAATAACTAACTCATTGGTGAAATTTCTGGCTGCAGCACTGGGTGACGCCACTCTGAATTTCCACTGAGGTGGAAGATACGCCTTGCTAAAAAGCGCCAAATTTCAGGGTTTCCTGTTCACTGCCTTCCTCCAAATAGCTATTTATTTTCTGTTTTATCAGTAGAATCACCTCATGTCCAGGATCTTAGTCACATCAATAGACAAGAAACATTTGTGAAGCTTAAGATAACAAGACTAATGCAACAATAAACAAAATGACAGAAAACTCGTAATTTTGACATAATAAACGTTATTTTTTGTGGAGATGAACTAATATAGAACTTTGAACGCTAAAGTGTATCACATTTAGGTAATATAAGAAAAATAGGGCAACAGAAATAGATGAATGCTACAACCAATAAATATCGATACAAAAGAGAGGATATCTGAATGAACATTCTTGGTTTAAAGAGTGAATACACCAATGCTATTGTGAAGTACATTACTCCATGTCATGAAGTGCTTCCGACTACGGAATCTTAGGTTCTTCAGGATGCTATACAGAAAAAAACCAGTAGTCAGTGAATTCATGGATGAGTGGCATGTTTTGTCCTAACCATACTCAAAAAGGTTTCCTTATGTTTCATTGCAAATATCTCCGTTCTTGATTTGTCGAAACTAATCAAGGCAACCGGACGTTTAAAGTCATCTGTCTGCGTAATAATAAAGTTTAATTCAGAATCTAAATTAGTCATTTGCAACTTACTCAGTTCGTTTATCTGATCTGAGTCTAACCAGGCAAGGGGTTGATGAGCTTGGCCTCATATGAGAGGAACGGCCATCCGCTGGTCACTACACTTCGATCTGGCTAGTAAGCATCAGTTTTTGACTTGAGCGACTTTCAGCCGCTCGTATCAGTTAGCAGTATGTACCATTTTTCTATAGAGCTCAGCTTTAACATTCTCATAAAATCAATTCTCAAGTTATAAGAATCACATGAATTAGTCTGGGGTTGTCACGTGATTTTAAAAGATTAAACCACTTAATACAATTTACTACTATTATAAATTATCAGCACTGGTTATGATATAAATAAATCATGAAGCCAAATGAAATGGAATTACGTTTACTAAATGAAATAATAAATTTACATGATAAATTGCAGAATGCTAGAATTAAATCTCATGAAGTTAGTTTACTTCGTCAAGCAGTTGAAGCGAATTTACAGCAGATAACAAATTTACCAATGTTGACTGTAGTACACAATTTGAAAGCTCACACAAACAGGGTTCATGACATTGTCTGGGTGCCAAATGACAGGTATGTATTGACTGTAGGCTCAGAAGGCTGCATCGTTATCTGGGATCCGAAAGTTGGCTTAATTCACAATGTTTATGATGCATCAAAAATACAACCAATTACTGTTGCTGCTACAAATGATGCCCAGAGTTTATTTTGTGGTGGTCTTTGTGCTACTGTTGTATTAGCTAATAAAATTGAACAGCCTCCAGAAGATGGTTATTCATATTATGATTCAAAATCAGTTTATGAGCATAGCGGGCAAATTAACTGCATTCTATGCATGAATGATACCCACTTATTAACATGTTCGGTAGGCGATGGTGCATTAATCTGGGATATTGAGAGAGTTAAAGTGATTGGTCGATATTCACACAGGACAGCACAGGTAACAACTGCATGCTTTCTACATGATGACAGTTCAACATTTCTGACTGCTGATGAAGAAGGGGTAATACATCATTGGGATATTAGAAAATCTGATAATTCTGTATTATGTTTTGAAGGGCATCAAGCTGATGTGAACTGTATTAAATCATTGCCTAATGGATATAATTTTGTTACTGGTTCGGAGGATACATTTATCCATTTGTATGATATACGCACAGATATAATTATTGCTAAATATCGTGATAAACAGGCTAGACCGATTACATCATCTGGTGATAATGAAGTAACCATGGTATCCTCTGGTTTACAACCGACAACACTAGCCTATGCGGCATCGCCTATGACACAGGCAACATCATTCATGAACTATTCAGATAGTAATCAGCGTCAGTACATACCAGCTGTCAATGATTTAGCTGTGTCAAGTTCTGGACGATTAGTTATTAGTGGTTGTAACGATTGGAATATTTATTATTGGGATTTATCACGTTCTGATAAGTGTGTACGTTACGATACAGAGATAGGACCGGTTATGAAAGTAGCAATGTCGAATAAAAGAAACGCACTAGCCATGATGACTTGGGATCCTAAGGTGAAAATTAATATTATGCGACCAAGATAATAGGAAGAAAACACTAAAATGGGCACATAAAAGAAAAGGTGAACAAAGTCGTCAGTACGAAAAAAAGAAAATGTATTTTAGAATAGGATAAAAAATAATTGTAAAATTTGTACAGAAATTAAATGAAATAAATAAACATCTGTGTCAAAATCAGAACGAGCTGAAGGATTGTTATTTCTACTGGTAAGCTAAATAAGATAAGATTTTGTACACGACTGATTAATGCGTCAGTGCAGAAGTGAGTACAGCTGACCGTAGATAAATTCAATTTGTTATAGAAGATAAAGAAGTAGAGCGCTTCCATATAATAAATACGTATAATACAGTATGTTTGGTGTGAAACCATCACTCTTAAAATGAATCATTTCGGAATATTTTTATTTACAGTCAGTAAGTCATTTTCAAGTGTTGATTTGCAGGTATTTGACTGATTTCAGGTTAGACATCAGTTAGAAAACTGTTGGAGGTGAGGAAGCGTTGGACCGTTGCTTCAACCCAGTTTGAAACTATTTAGTAGTACACCGATGGACCCACTGATAACTGAACACAGCATCTTCAAGTTACAATGCGATCATTCAGCCACTGGGGGGGGGGAATCCAAAGACTTCTGAAGCTTACCATTTTTCCGAATATATCTCGTCGCCATCAGCTAATTCGTTGGTGAGTGTCTGTCTTCACTACTGATTCTGTGGGCTTCTGTGAACACAACTTCTCGCTAAAACCTCAAGAAAGCCATCCCATAGGCCATTATTAGTGAGGTAATTGGTCGATAAGATTGCCTTGTAAAGTGAGGATCGTGTGTTCGGCCCCGGTGAAAGTTGTAGACGAGTACTAGTGAAGAATGGTGAACTGGGATGAGACAGCTATCTAGTACTCCCTGGTTTCCCATGGTCACCTTACTGACGTGGCTAAGTGTTCTAACCTTAAATGAGTATTATCGAGGTTCATAAAAACGAGTGACTGTAGTTTATACTTTAATAATGAGTTTCGTTCAACCAGATTATGAACATTTGTGAAAACAATAAAGGTCAAATGAGATTAGAGGACCTTGTGCGTGCATATGTGCTGGTGAGTTAAATTCAACAAACATGGATAACGAGGGCTACACTAGTTCTTTGATGTAGAGTTCAACGAATGTGATAAAGTAAAATTAAGCATATGGGCTAGCAAGATACGTGCAAAAGGTAAGGAAAAAGGAAGCGATAATGTTAATACGTAAAAAGGAACTTGTTTTTAAAATTGCATTATCAAGGCAGGTCCAAGGTAATAACACCTAGTTTTTCAGAATATAAAGTGGTTTATGCCTTTTTTTTATTGCTAAGGCTTGAAAGAATTTACGTATATTACCCAAACTTGCTACACATATGAGTTTATAGGTGCTATGGAAATAAACTTTATGACCTGTTTCTATGAGATGTGCTTTGTGACAGATGACGTCAGGTACTTATCTCCTGGTTCAGTTGAGTTAGACAACTTTATTTGTTTCAGATAACTGGCATTTTATTTCAAACCTTATTTAAAAGAACTACTTCTTTTACGCACTAGAGACATTAAATTTACATCTGGGGGTAAGAATTTCCACGAGCTGAATACTATGACTAAGGTAGGGCGCATCTATAAACTTCATTGGGAAATTTTCGTCTTAAAAGAAGTATATGGATGATATTATAGTTGTCTTTAACAAGTTGATGGATGTCGCAGGTATTCTTAAATGCAAGAATGTAGAACAAAATAGTACAGCGTCGATATACGTGGAAGAAAATCACAACTTTCTGGCAATAGTAATTTGCTTTATTTCAAAACAGTACTAATGCGAAAGTGTGAATTTTTCAGCATTTGGTAAAATTATTTATTATATTATTATTTCCTTGGATTCCGAGTGGAACAAAGGGTTTCATTAACATGTCTCCACTTTCTTCTATTTTCTGCCATCCTCTTCAGCTGGGTCCACGATTGCCCAGACTTTGTCATCTCCTCCTCACACGATCTCCTCCATGTCATCCTCACACCAACGACCCACTAGTCGCTTCCCATTTGGATTCCACAGTTAGGTATTTCGCAGTTAGGCATATTTCTCACAAACCCTAACCGTATCACGTCCGATAAGATTTGTGTGATTTCATGGCAGATATCGCCAAAGACCTATAGTAGCTACAAAGTCAATCGCAACTAAAATAGTCTGAAAAGGGATTTCAGGTGGATTACTGATTCTTGTTCTGACAACTGATCACTACTCTACGAATCATCAAATTTTAAAGCAAGCAGTTTCAGATTCAGCCATGATGTTTTTCCTTCTGAAAATTCATCAGTTACTATTGTTGTGTAATACGTTTTGTGAGTAGCTGTTCTGGTATGTAGATTGTATCAGTAGAAATTGTTTGCTGAAAATTTGTTCTCATTTCGTATTATGTTTCAACAACCAAGACAGTCATATCATGCAATCAACATAGCTGAAGTTGTGTTAATACCCCGAAATGTCTGTAAATTTAGACAAATTTCTCACAAATATTTGGCTATCAAACTGTTTCAACGTAAATATAAAGTGTAATTTGAACAAAATGTGTTTATGAAACTGGTATTAGAGATTGCCTAATAGTTTTAGACTCTCATGATTTGAGCCGAAGACAAGTGCAATTATTTCAAGCCAAATTACTATTTGTTGACTAAACTAGTTTAAATTCAGTTAATCTTGTATAAGTGAGTGATTTATTTGATGGTATCTGGTATTGGAATTCAAAACAGGATTATTTCATCCTATTTAGAAGTTATCAACTGAAAGCACTTGAGTACAGTGCATGATGGTATTCTATTTGCAGTTCACAACCAGCACCTATAGCCTCAGAAAGCAATAAGTCAAAGGACACGTCACTTATGCTTTGGAAATCAGTTACTATTTTATATATGTTTAAACCAAGTTCACTTTTAACAGTTTGAAAGCATTTGGGCATTGGGTATATGATATTCATTATAATAAAGGATTTTGTATTTTCCAGTGAATGAAAAACAAAACGATATTGTTTTCACTGACGTTTTCCTACCCAGTGCTAACAGCTTTATCAAAGTATTATTCAACCAAAATTTACAAAATCTCAGTTTATATGCAACAGCTTAATCATCCTTCCTAAGCATGGGGGCATTTTTGCGTTGTCAAGTTGGCCAATTGGTGAAGATAACAAAGCCAAGTGTAGATTGTTGGATTTGATAAGTGTGTAGAATTATGAAACGGCGTGTGTTTATATAATGATATTGCTTTTCACATTCGTGTTGATTTTGTCATTTCATGGGGAAGGGAGGTGTTGTAACCAGGTCAAATTCTGTTTTAGTCCATCATTCCTATTCAGACAATTGGGATTCCACTTGATTTGAAGTGCTTCTGATATTAGACGTTCTTTGTGATTTCTGAATTAATTTCAATATTGTCAGAATCAATTTTGTGGCCTGATTCTATAACGTGCAGACCTATGGCTGATGATTTTTCAAGCTTTTCTAGTTCAACCGGATTTCTCGGTGGTCGAAGAGATGCTCTACGGTGTTCATTTCTTCTGATTTTGATTTCTCTCTGGCGATGTTTGTCCGATATATATCGCATCACATTCCAAGCATTTCATTTTATAGACACAATTAGATAGAGGATCTTTAGGGATTTGGTCTTTTATATGGACAAGGTTGTTTCGTAGTGTGTCTGATGTTTTGAAGAAAACTCTAATGTCGAGCTGATTGAGTACTCTTCTGATATTGTCTGACGTCTCTGCTCTATATGAAATGACGACTGTTGAGGTCCATGTTTTCGGAATGCATTTTCGGCCATACTTAATGTCAGTGTTGATATTGCTGATGAAGTTCCTTGGGTAGTTGTTTTACTTGAGGGTTTCAGTAATGTTTGATATTTCTTCTTCCCTTGCTTTCTCATACATTATCAGAGAGTTTGCTTGTCTAAGAAGACTTGAAACAACTGAAATCTTTGCGCTGATGGGGTGTGATGATCTGAAGTCTGAATATTTGGTGGAGTGTGTTTTCTTCCTGAATACAGATATATTAAAATGTCCATTTTCCCTCTTCTTAACTAGTTCACCGACGTCTGATTTTGTTTCTGAAGTAAACGATTCTGGGAGATAGATTGTTCAGTTTCTCCAAGAATGAACTGGATAGCACTACAAAAGTATCATCAACTCATCTTAATCATATTCTAGGAGTGAGTATGCTTGAAAAAATGTTATTTTCAAATCCACTCATAAAAAGATTAGTAGCTATTTGAGAGACTGGCGAACCCATTTGTCTGTCTATAAAAATTCCCTTTAAATGTAAAATAATTCCTTTCTAGACAGAATTTTAAGCTCTTAATTATTTCACTGGTGTCCAGTGGACATCTTTGTGATAGCGTTGTATATGATTCTAGTAGACTGGAAATGATATAACGACTACTATTTATTGAAACTTGTGATTTCACACTTTTTTTTCTCGATCTAACTAACTCACCTTTTTTTGTCTGGCCACATGGATATCCTGATTCTGGCTGGAATTTCTCTCGAAGTTGGCCAAATACTATGATCATAAAATATACACTATATGGATAGAACTTAGGGGAATATCAATGTGTCCTTTTCTGAATCTCTTAAATGAGAGAAAGTTCGATTATTAAAACTGCCAAAATATTGAGCGCATAAACTTGTATCTACTTTAAAGACATTAAAGTAGTCAAAATATATTAATGAAATAATTGCAGCAATAGATGATTCACATCCAGTCAATGATGGCTAAAGTCAATGAAAAAATGACAGTCATTGCAAAGTTGAAGAGATTGACTTGTGAATATTTTGCTTCTGCGAAAGAGATTGGAATCAAGAGATATATACTGGATGACTTCTGGTCAAATAAGTGAAATTATTTCTTTAAAACAAATAGTTCCCTTTATGAATTTAGGCAAAGCAATAAGAAGACGGAATTTGTCTGAATCGTGTAATGTATTTGAGCAACACATTTCGAACAATCTGATCAAACACGGACTTGTCATAGGAATATGCATATATATATATATATTCAGAGAACCGAAAGCAATGGAGACGCACGGCTGAAGCCCTCTGTTACTCTAGGAATTAAATGAAACAATAATATATATATATATTTGATAGTGTGGAAAATTCCCATATTATGAATTAAAAGTCAATCTGAACGAAGAATATTCTTTTCAATAATTTCTCTTCAGGTTCTTACAATTATAAAATATAATATTTGTTGTCGTTACAATAAGGCCAGTTATGCGGCAGATACATTTTTTAACGTAGAATAACAGATTAGTTATGGGGTGTCAAAATAAATAGTCGTATTTGTGTGACAAACGTGCTAGGCTGAATTCGATTACAAAATAATGTAAAACGGGAGACAATGGTGATTAATCATAATAGATTTGTAGAGTGGGGGTAGGAAAATTGACAAGTCAGTTCAAGGTTATAAAAGGTGTCAGGTGAGTGGCTAGTACAAAGTGGTCTGTGTTAAACAGGAGATAGTAAGACTGCAATGGGAGGTTCATAATGAGATAACGAATATGTGAAATGAAACAGGTGGAGGCATATATTGAGAAAAGAGATAATATCACTAATAATAAGTCCGGATAGTATAAACGAAAAAATTCGATAGTATTGAGAGAATGTTTGCATGAAGGGCATAAATTATGACGAATAATAATATTAATAATAATAATAATTGTAATAATAAGCAAAGGAAAAAAAGCCAAGAGGGTTAAGGGGAAGGAGCACTCTTGGTGAGAAGAAGAATCATCAATCCAAGTTTGGCCACGGTAGGAACAGCGTCTGGACGTGTTCTTTTTGGATACAAAGTTCCGGTTTAGTCGATCTTATTGCAACAGCTTCAGCTATGTGTAGAAGACGTAAGCGAACTGTACGTGATAACGACTTCGGAATTCGGTATATAACCCTGAAAGCTGTGTTGACATCGATATGATGTCCAGTATCGACCAAGTGTGACAGGATCGAGCTTTTTATGCACTTAATTTCCCCTCTGCTGAACCAAGCTGGTAAATGTTCTCGAACCCGTAGACGAACCTGCCTAATCGTGCGCCCTATATAACTTGAACCACAGGAACAGTTGAAATGGTATATGCATGAAGAAGAGCTAAGATTAGGTAAAACATCTTTGAATTGCTGGGTGAACATTGGACGGCTACTGAAGGATAGACACAGACGTGCAGAGTAGAAAGTTTTCTTGATCGCCCTGGTTAAACGTTGCGATAGAATCTCCGCAGGAGTATCTCCCTTGAATTGGAGACGTAAAAACAGAGGCTTTTTCTCCACCGTTGTCAGTTCATGTTTACGGCTATTGTAACCTATGTTTGCTTTAATGAACTTCTCTGGATATCCGTTCTCACTTAGAAAATATTATATTTTATAATTGTAAGAACCTGAAGAGAAATTATTGAAAAGAATATTCTTCGTTCAGATTGACTTTTAATATATATATATATATATATATTTATATATATATCCAATTAATAAAGAGTTAAGAGGTGAGAAAATAGACTTAGGTCAAGTTAAAAGGACATACTGAAAGTTAAAATAACATTGAAGATAATAAAAGACAAATTCAGTGAAGAAAATTTTCTATATCGACGAAATCATCTTTAGAGACTGTACAGTCGTATTTATGTTTACCAAAAATGTATAGTAGTCTATTACTGAGTAACAGAGGATGACGCAACTGATGTAATTACTCGGAAGTGATACTAGTGAATTAATTATTAAAGCAAAAGCAAAATAAAAGTAAAATTGAAAATTAAGAAAAGAAAAAAATCAAATTTTTTTACAGGGAACGACTAGTGAAGTGCGGTGTAGATTGAAGTCAGCTTCTCCTTTTGTTGCCCATCTTTGCATTAGTGTATCTCCTCTTTCACCATCCTTCTCTTATCTCTTCTGCAATCTTCCAGGTAGGTTTCCATTGGCAGCCATTACTTGTCTTGTCTGTTATTTTTTCCAAGGATAGTTATACACGTTCCCTGAACATCACCTTCAGAGGGTTAGTTCCAATGTTCTTCCACGCAGGTGTCCCCAGTGATGTCAGGTAGTGTGCCCGACTTTGCTCTGATCTTATCTGTAGTGAATATATCCTTTGTAGTTTTGTCCTTCAGTTTCTGAATGTTGAACTTGAATTACAGTGGCCTGTCTCCATTGTTCTGAAGGATTTCAGCTTCACCTTGAATGTTCCTTGAACTAGATTGTGGTCTCAGCCAGCCCACATCTGCTCCCGTTCTCGACTTCATATCCAGCAGGCTAGCTGCTTCTCCACTTCCGTGAGCAGTATTGAGATGAAGTCTGTATGGTTTGTGGTGTGTTTATCAGTGAAAATCCATGTTACCTTGTGTATATCCTTGTGCTACCTCCGATCACCAAATCATTCAAAGTGCAGAAGTCTGCGAAGAGTTCTTCGTTCTCGTTCATTTTACTGAGCGAAAGCCTCTCGATCCATGATGAGTTCTCTTCCTATATTATCTGCCTCCAGTTTGTCTTGTATTCATATCGCCCATTAGGATTTTGATGTCGCCATTCAGGATGTTGTCCATTACTGTTGGTAGTTGTCTATAAAAATCTTCCTTCTTCTCTTGTTCTGCGTTGTTTTTAGAACCGTGCGTGACCTTCCTTCCTTCCTTCATTTTGAGTTGAATCTTGCTGTCATGATTCTGGGTGAGATTTGTCTCCACTACATTAGAGCCTTGGCTACCACTGGTAACATCATGATAGCCACTCACTGCCTCAGTGTGCTTGTGGTTGTCGTCTGGGTGGCCAGACCGGAGTAGATTATTGACTCTCCAGTTGAAAATTTTGACAGTCAACACTCATTCCATCTGCTTTCGCAAATACCCAGTACTTCTAAGCTATATCTTCGCATTTCTTTGGCTACCTGGGCGTATATTGTACAAACATTCTTTGCCCCATTCTTATTCATGCTTTCATCAAGAGAAGATATATCGGCTGGCTGACTGTCTTCCCGAAGGCTTTCACCAGCCAGCTGTGTCAGTTTGCCTCTCCGATTCCTGTAAAGAATGTTTGTTCTTTATGTAGTTGTATTTTTTTAATATTTTTCTTGTGCGTGGGGTAGGATCGCTATTCTCATACCCAACCCTCCCTCTTTTTCCAGGCTTGGAACCTGCTAGAAAACTAGCAAGCTAGTAAACTAGGCGGGGTTACTATCAGATCAGTGAGTTAATTTAAATCCTCTCAGTCACATGATGATTTATTGCGTATTGATTTTCAGAGTAAGTTATAATAAGTTAAACAGAAATATGGTGAAATAAACGATATGCTAAGTTTCCTCTATAAGTAAAACAACTTCCCTCTTTTGGATTTTATACAAAAGTCTTATTTTCTCCTTTATCTCTAATATGTCGATGATGATGACAGTAATAACAATACAATGTGTGAGATAGAAAGATCCAGAGAGAAAAGTAAATTTAAGACTAACATTGATTCTAGTCCTTCAACATCACTTCCATTTAATAAAGACATAAATGGAGGCTATAAAACTGATTGTTGGCCTATATGGAGTGGAATAATTAGTCAGTCTGAAAAGAGCAGTAACTTTAGTGGTCTTATTCAACTATTGGGCAGTACTCTTGAAAGTTCAGCTAGACAAGCTTATCATGATTTATTAGATGCAGTTCGTTATGGAAATGAACATCAGCTGATTGAAAGTCTACAAGGGACAGGTTTATTAAGTCTACGTCAATTCTATGATAAAATGCCGAAAATCTCACCTACATGGGATGGTTTCGCTGCAAGTTTAGATATTTTAGAGCATTTATTGTGTAAAACTTTAAGAATTAAACAAACACTGATTACTGGACTGGTTGTATTTATTAAGCCGTTAAGTAAAATCTATCAGCAACGTGAGCGATGTTACTTTCGACAGCCTTATCATGATGCATTGAAGAAATGTAGAAAGAAGATAAACACATCAAAGAAGCAAGGTACAATTAATTCTTCGACATCGCAATTATCATTATCCTATCTTCATTCATTCGACTTCACAGTCAACAAAATACAAAACAAGTTAGGCAGATTGACACTGTTTAAGTATGAACCATGCTTTGAGACATGGTTACGCAATATTGAAGTAATGATAACTGATTACCCGTGTGTTTCATCTAATGAATACGCTTTATTTTTATCATATATTCGAAGCGTAATGCCAGACTATAAAAGTATGAGTATAAATGAATCAGTAAATAGCGGTATAATTACCAATAAACCTGTTAACACTGGAGTAGTTCAACCGAAAATAAATCGTAAAAAGCGTTTGCTAATACTTCAAGGATTTAACAACAAACGAACAAATTGTGATGAGGGAAATGTCAGAAGTTTAGGTGAAATTCAAGAAAATCCACTTAGTGCAGATGTTGAGAATGAGGAAAAGACTTTCAAAAATTTAGCCTACAATCAACAGTTGACCAGTTCATCTCAGTGCAAAAGTCATGTCCCCTATACAAATTCTGCTGCTAACATTGATATTGACAATGATCAATGTGAACGAACTGCAGCTTCTGCATCTCCTAGAAACTATGACCATGAAAAGGAAGTAGAAAGACAGAAAACAGTAAATATTGTCGGTAAATTAACCCAAACAGATTTATCTACGAGTAGTAATGATTCTCCACATCGCAACAAAGATACTTATTCAGACTCCACATTAGATTCATCCAACATTATTCATAGTCATTCTGAAGTAATACATGATAAAGATAATTTCAGTGAAGATATTAATCATGGTATGCAGCAGAAAACATCTTTGAAACTCGATAATACATCTTCATCCACATGGTCTTCCTTGTCTTCCATATCCGAGAGAGTGAATACTAATGACTTTGATGATTCAAATAAAATAACAGCTATACAACAGACATCAAGGAAACAAAACGTTGGTAAGGAAATATACAAAAATGAGCTTATCGAAGTTGAGCAAGTTCGACAGTTGCACCCTGTAATCAAATGGAAAGGAAACTTAAAATCTATTAAGTCTCCCTCATTACATAAAGTAAGTATAGTTGAAAACTCCATATTTGGAGAAGTGCATAATTCGCAAATTGTAGTAGTCAAACCGAATACATCTAGTCGTCAGAAAACTACGGGAATGGCATATTATCAGAAACCAACACATATTCACGATTCGTTGATGAAAGGTGAGGAAATTCAAGTGGTCGAGAGAATGAATAAACAATTTCAAAGAAAACAAACACAATCACCAGAATCCTGTTCTATTCAAGATATTAGTCATGGAGATGTAAACCACATTGAGGAGTGTGTTACTGCCAACTTCACTGACATTGAGGGAGAGGACGTTGGTGAATCCATCGGAAACAGAAATATTGATGACGATGTGGACAGTATAGAAATTAAAGAATACAATCAAATTAATATTTCTCAGTATCAATTTCTAGTGAAAAACACAGGAAAATCTCCAGACTTACAGAGGAGTGAATGCATCAGTCATCCGTTATACAGTGACAATAAACAAACAATGAATATGTCTTCATTGATAAAAAATTTCCAGTCGACTTCTGACGATATTCTCCTACTTCAGAGTGAAAAGTCACAGAAGAAGAGTAAATTAAATGATGCTGTCAAGAAAGAAAACAATGATGGCATGTGTAGCATTGGGCAACCGTCAGTATTCTCACATTTCTCAATTTTCCGTACCACTGAACATTGTGAGAATTCGGTAAAACGGCTTTCAGACAAGAAATATCAAAAAGATTATGATCAAGAGAATACGACACAAGAAAGAGACTTATACGATGACAAACTGAATTATTTCAGTGTAGTGGATGCAACCATCTTTGCAGACACTGAGACATGTAAATTATCTTCAAATATAACAAATAAATATGAAGATAGCCTGAAAATATTACAGTCAGATAAAATAAATTTGCAAAATGAACGCCTTCAGGATGACAAGAGCACGACATATATCAACAAAACTAAATCAAACTTATCGAATAATTCAGAGATGGAGAAGACTCCATTTCCAAGTAGACAGTTGAACACACTTCATATCAATGTGAATATTGAAACGGATGCATTTTGGGAAAATGATTTCAAGCATACACCAGTGATGATTAACACATATTTGACTACTAAATCACAGTCGGGTAGTAGAAATAGTGAACTTATTCTGTAATTAGTTGTAAGCGTAAGAAACACTAATATGGAACACTGAAAACCAACGTTTTTGTGTTAGGTAATCAAAGCATTCACCACACTAACTCACACGATCGATTGTCTTCGTTTGCCCACGTGTGTGTGTGTGTTTCATATCGAGTTATGTGCACTGCTTTATACTTGCATCATTCTATTTTGTTCACTGGTCGAATTCATCTAATAAAATGCTAGAGGTTTTGTTCTTTCAACTTTTTGGCATTGTCACGGTTTGAAACAATAAGTTGTAGGGTCTCAAGCAAATTTGGAACCGACAGGAGACTAGTAACGCTGAAGGCCGGCCAATTGTTGGGACCATGATATGGGACCAATTTCGTTTTGTAAATTAATTCTCATTATTTTACAGTAAGAACTGTTTGCTAATCTGGGAACAACTTAAACAGTCAGTGAGCCACTTGTCTCTTTTAATTCCACGTGATTTCAAGTAGAATAAGAACTAGTTGGAAATTTGCACAAAGAGTTCATGTGAACGGTTAAGCATGACTGATCCACATGAAAGCCAAACAGAAACGTGGGTGAATTCCCAACAATGCAGGCAAGCATCTTGTTAGTTCTTTAATCTACATACCACAGTCATTCCCCGCCAATAAGACTAGTAGGTAACAAAGCTTTAGTTGATGGGGATTAATTGATAACACTATTCTTCACATCAATATGGACAAAACATAGTGATTATGGGAACCTCTAACTGTGACATTCTGAAGGCGAAACGGGTTGACAACAAGTGGTGATTTAAAAAAACTTTCTAAGCTTCTTCTTACATAAATACGAACGAAATGTAGTGAAAAGTATTATTTATTACAGTTTACAGTTTACAATTTATTTAGGATAGTAGGCTATATGTCTGTGTTAGTCCTTTAGATTTGTTGCACGCAGGAGGTCCAATCTCGCCTTGAATGAATCAACGGATGGTGCTGATACGACGTTTTCCGGTAGGGAGTTCCAGTGGTTCACAGTTCGATGCGAAAAACGGATCTCCAGACACAGACGATTCGACCATGGTTTTTGAACCTTGAGGTGATGTCCTCGCAATTGGTTGGTGCTAGAAGGAATAAATTAATTAGATAAATTAGCTTCAAAATCATTTCTTAGGATATGGTATGCTAGTATTAGGTCACCCCTAAGTCGTCTGTATGACAATGGAAATAAACCCAGTCGACTTAACCTCTCCTCATATGAGAGGGTTGAGAAACCCTTTATTAGCTTAGTTCCTACTCTTTGCACCCTTTCTTATAAGTCTATTTCGTATTTGAAACACGGGCTCGCTGCCTGGATCCCATATTCCAAATGAGGTCTGATATAAGTCGGATATAATATACGAAATATATCAGCGTCAAAGTTTGCAAAAGCCTTGCGTATGGCCCATAATATTCGAAAACCCTTAGTGGCTGCAGCTCTACAGTTTGTTGCTGTTTTCAAGTCATGCTGCACAACCACTCCCAAGTCCTTGTACTCAGTGACCACTGGGAGAGTAATGCCATTCATTGAGTAATTGTGCACGTGACTATGAGATACATGCATAACTACACTCTTGCTTAAGTTAATCTCCAAGGCCCAGTGCTTACACCAATCACTTAACAAGTTTAAATCTTCCTGCAAAGCAAGTTGATCACTGTCATCGTGTAAAGCCCTCCATATCTTGATGTCATCAGCAAACAGTAAGCAGGATGACTTAACTACCGATGGAATCTCATTAACATAAATCAGGAAAAGAAGTGGGCCTAGAATTGTACCCTGAGGAACGCCACTCTTAACCGATTCCCATGTTGATAAAACCCCGTTAACTCGTACTCTTTGTCTTCTGTCCTTTAGAAAGTCTTGAATCCAGTCGGCAACCACTTTATTGATTCCCAGACTACCTAACTTTACTAGAAGACCTGAATGAGAAACCCTGTCAAACGCCTTGCTAAGGTCGATGAATATGGCATCCACCGGTATATTAGCATCAGCTGAGCTTGCCCAACTTTCTCTGGCCAAAAGAAGGTTGGTCAAGCAAGAATGACCTGCTCTAAAACCATGCTGTTCCACAGCGAAAAGTTTGTTCCCTTCAATGAACTGAATGATAGCATCACGAATTATTCTTTCTAGTAGTTTAACAACAATACTGGTCAAACTAACAGGACGATAGTTCTGAACTAAGTTTCTAGATCCGGTTTTGAAGACCGGACTAATGATGGCATCTTTCCAGTCTCTTGGACATTTAGACTGGTCCAGAGACATATTGAAGATTACCGACAATGGCTCGGCTATGTTTTCAGCCAATGCTGTTAATATACGTGGGTGGAGTTCATCAGGGCCACTGAACTTACCAGGAGTGAACTTCAGAAACCACTTTAGGACAGTATCCTTTCCAATGTATAAGGGTGCCATTTTCAAGTTACCTTCTGGAAAAGTTACAAAGCTGGTATCAATATTATCAGAGAATACTTGACTAAAGTGCTTGGACAAAGCCTCAGCCTTAGTCAAGTTATCCTCAGTCATGTTTGTCTGGTCATCTTCAAGCATAAGAGGTGGGATAGCATCACTCTTACGTGTTCTTCTCTTGATATATGAGAAGAGTCTTTTTGGGCAGCCTGGTGAACTTTTAACTAACTGGGTTTCGTAAGCTATCCTTGACTGGTGAATCAAAGTTTTACACTGGTTTCTGGTTTCACAGTATTTCAGCCGGAACTGCTGTAGCCCAGTAGAAACAAAGAGATTCCAGAACCTTTTTCTCCGTCTTAGGAGTGTTATAGCTTGTCTATTTATCCATGGTGGCCGATTTGTTGGCCTTTTAGGAACCCTCCAGGGAATGAAATCAGTGGTAACCCTCTCAAGTGTATTCTTAAATCTATCCCATTCATCTTCAATGGATGAGACAATATTGACTGACCAGTCGGCAGTTGAAGCACGCTCCTTTATAGCGACTATGTCAGCATGCCAAACACTAGGTCGGGATTTGGGTTGAAAACTGACTAAATTGCCAGCCCTTAAGTTAAAATCTAACACCCCATGATCACTGTTTGCTAGAGGTGGATGAATAACTAGACCATCCACGTCGTCGTTGTCATGAGTAAGCACTAAGTCCAGCAAGGAAGATCCTTGGGTAGAACCGAATCTTGTACTACCTAAGACATGTTGTGTCAGGGCATTTTCCATGGTAGTCAAGAGTAACCGGCTGTCAAACTTATTAGTGGATCCTGGAGATGTGACAGCTACCCAGTCTATATGAGGTGCATTAAAATCACCTAGAATAAGACAGCTACTGTGTTTACTCCATTGTTTGAGGTGATCTAAAATAAAGTCATCACACTGACAATAGGGACTTCTATACAGAACTCCAATGAGTAGAGTGCCAGTTGCAAAGCTTACTTCACAGCTAATTACCTCACTTGTCCCACTGTCATGCGCTTCAGATTTCACGGAACGAACATGTAGGGAGTTGTTGATGTACAGAGCAACCCCGCCACCTCTACGACCCTTAACCCTGTCGCTGCGCAAGCAACTAAATCCGCATAGCTCAGGTGTGTCATCTAATCCAGAAACCAGCCATGTTTCAGTAATGGCCACAATACCTGGGCTAAGGTCTTCCACTAATACACCTAGCTCGTGAAATTTGTTCCCGATACTACGTATATTAGTGTACACTACCTTCAGGCTTCCTATGCGGTCCGGCTTATCCACACAGGTCTTGGAAGCATACGTTTCCAAGACCTGACTATTTGAAAACCCACCAGTTTAAGGTTAGTCTCACCATTTTTACGTCTTGTTTCTAGCTGGGACAAAACTTCTTTTCGTTTAAGTCTGTCTTCAAGAGATAAATCAGGTCTGACTGAAATTCCTGACCCGGCAAGGTTGTGTACATTAGCCAGTAGATGATTCCGTTCATCAGGAGAACCTAAGACTACTTTAAGCAACCTACGCTGATTAGAACATTCATCATCTCTTTTGCCTATTCTAATCAGCTTTTTAATCGATACTCCAGGGAAATTCGCTGGGAGCATCTTCCTTATAATACTACTCACTAATTTAAGGTCGTGATCGTGCCTTTTCACGGGATCAGATTCTTTGGACTCTTCTAAATTTCCAACAATTATGTTAGAGTCTAAGGAGAGCTTGTCGTATTTAGCAGTGGCTACGTCTTTTCTCACCACTATTGATGCAGCCTGGCTACAGGTGACAGACGTTTGCCTACCATCAATATTACTATATTTCTTCCGATTGCTTATTTTTGTTACCCACTTATCATCTGCCTGCAGTTGCTTCTCAGGGCTGCTGCAGTTTTTGATGGTACAATCAAGATCAGTGTCTGCACCACCTTCATGGTGAACTTCGCTTACAGTGTTCTCTGGTGCTGAGATGCTGTTTACAGCTTCCGTTTTGTTACCTTTTCGCTTACTAAGACGCTTCGAACGCCTAGTAGGTTTTACTTCCGGGGTAACTGGGATAGTAACCACCGGTGTGATAACATTCATGATGGCACTTACTGCGTCATCTTCAGACGGGCAGTCCGTGTCACTCTTACTAGCCACGCTATCATCAGGAAGTTCCATGGCTTTAGACAGTAGTTCGTGAGCCTCCCTTATTAAAGTCATCTTTGGGGAGCAACACATTCTGCACATCCAGTGGGATGTTGGAGCACTACAACGTTTGTATGCAGCTGGACGTAATCCAGTACACATCTTATGATACCACTTTTTACAGTTATTACACTGTATTCCATCATCTACCAAAAAGTAACACTCCGCCCTATTACATTTATGTGGTACTTTTGACATAATGAACTTCTACTGGAAACAGCCAAGACAATTTACCCAATATAGACTATATAAGTGGTTAAAATCAAAACTTAACAGACAAAAGTCAAGTTAAAGTTTTAAAAAATGTTCTTGAAGTGAATAACACAACAAAAACAGCGATTTGTCAAATACGTGAAAATACGTGAAAAAAGCACTCCCTTTTTCAAACAGCCAGGATGATACT